AAGTTGTTGCATTGTCTCCAGAGTCAGATCATTTTTTGAAGTGTGTATTTTCTTAGGGCTGAAAAAAGCAAATAAATGGATAGATGTGTATATATATAGTGTGTGTATCTCTGAGAATGTAATTATATGGAAAAGAATATTAAATTTATAGTGCATAGTTTGAGCCCTCTGTTCATTTCCCCAAAAAAGCAAGCAGTACATTTCTTTAAAAAGAAACTTAAATGTTAGAGTTATGTTAAAACCATGTTAACACAATAAGCATCTTTTAAGGGGGAAAAAGTGATTATTTTTTCAAATATCTGCTTATTACTCAGTTATATAGTCTTTTTTATTGCTTTTCATTTACAAAGTATGGCTTAGTGGAATCAGGAAGATTTAAATGGTGATTGAAAAGTTTAGCTTGGAAGTGAGAGGACAATACAGATTATTGCTACCTGTGTTATTATAGGAAACAATTTCATTTGTAATCAATATATTTCTTCTGAGAGGTCTTGGCATTCACTGAAGACCAGCGAAGGCAGCTTTGTCCTCACATTTTGCACAGAAAGATGAGCAAGAGAATCTTCTGCTAAGCGATCGAAACAGAACATGGGTGTCACATTATTATAGGCTTTGTATAAAACATCATAAACAGCTCCCAAATGCATAAGCCAGTCTCCGCTCACATAGCTGAAATTACTTTTGCCATCTTTCCCTTGACATATAATGAAGAATGTGAAAAGTTGTTATTTCTCCTTGTCTTCTAAAGCATTTGTGTGCTGCTGCAGTCCTTACTGAAACTGTTCTTCAGTGGCACTGGTTTCAGTTGCTGTCTTATTCCTTCTCACAGTCTGGTCATTTGCCTCAAACAGAAAGATGTAAAACAAAAATACAGCCAGGAGACTGTTAGCATATTATGATAATGGTCTTAAATTTGGTTTAGGGACTGTATAGTCTTTTGTGGCTGATGGTTTGTAGGTGCTAAGGGAGAGATCAGAGTAAATATTCTTGTGGGTTTCCTGACTTAACATCTGTTACGTAGTTACTTCAGGCTTCAAGAAAGTAGACTCAAAGATCCAGCAGTCCTTTAGTGCATTAACGTACATTAATGTATAGCATGATTTTGGCAGTGTTACAATACTTAAACAGCTTAATCTTCCTTCTGCTAAAAAAAAAAAATATGCAAGGAATATAAATACATGCTGGCGTGTGAGCATTGCTTAAATAATTGTAGAAGCTGTTAGATGTGAGATGAAATTCGTGCACGGCTATAAAACGTACAATGGCAGGCAAACAGCTGGAATTTATGTAGATTCATATACATTAAGGTATGAATATGCATCATTTTATGAGACTCCAAAACCAAGTATAGATGCAGATGTCCTAAGAAAATGTTTAATCAACTCATCAATTGGAAAAGTTCTTAGATAATTTAGGAAGTAAGTTTAACTAACCTTATGGCTTATAGAACAATTAATATTTCCCACATGCACAAATTTTAAATCAAAATACTGGAATATACTAAAAGAAAATCCCAAATTAAATGGAATGGTGGTGGTAAATGCACAACATTAACTTAAGGAAAAATCTCAAAGAGAGTATCATGTTTAAAGGAATTTTAAATTCATAATACATTCCAGATTCAGGTCATTTGAAAGTACAGAGCTCAGACCCATCAGACCGCTTTGTCTTTCCACTGGTGTCTTCATCTGCTGCCTACCTAAATTAATACATCCATATTTGACCTCTAGCTAACGAGTCTTGTTGTTGAGGCTAACATTGTATGTTTTGATCTGAAAAGCTGTAACTTACAGTCCTGGCCTAACTGCCACAGTTAAGATCCACAAAGGTCCAGTTTTCTTCTTCCCAATAAGGAACTGTTTGCAAAATGATCTCCCCTAAAGGACTGTTCTACGAAACTTGCCATTTCTGGACAGCTCCTGCAAAAAAACAACCAACCAAACACTAAACCGAAAACTCTTCCTCAAACCCCTAAACAAACAAGAATCTGGCTCATTTTCCTGTTGTACAGGAGAAGGAAGGAAGGATTGATGGAACACTATTAAAGAATATGATTGTTATAGTCAGTACTCTTCCAGGGTGAATATTACAGCAGAGGTTATCTTTGTCCTTGATTAAGGTTGGAGCACTGTCAGTGCTGTGCAATATGGTCTTTTTGAGCCGTGGTTTTATTTAAAATGCTAACAGTAGAGCAATATCACACAACAATCTTTTTTAATGCCACTCCTCTCTTTCCAACACTTAATAGTCAGCTATGTGTGGATTTACCTCATCTTCTTCATTTGGTCTCACACCTATCCTTCTGGCTTTTCATGCTGTCTGTTTAATGAGAAGAAAGAGATTGTTAACAGGTCTATCTACATTATAACTGAAGTATTTAGGTAAGGATACAGTTCAAGGTGCTGCCTGTAGTGAATAAATCTGTAAATTGTATGATCAAATATCTACCTACTATGATGCCTCTTTTCTACGTTTTTTTCCAAGGTTCAACAAAGGAACATTTTAAGTAAGACTACAGCAAGGCAACATTTATTACAGCAGTAATTTGAGGGGAGGTCAGAATGTTAACAAATACTACACAATTTTTTCTTTTACAACTTTGTAAATACTTCCATCTCATCACAGGAAAAAGAACTTGAAAATAATTTTTAAAGTCATTATTTTGATATCTTTGGAGTGAAATACTGCTATTGTGTTTAGCAATGCTAACAAGTAAAAATATTTTTTTTCCAGAAAATTGCCTTTAATTTTTTTTTTAAATGTAAATATTAATTGATATAGGGATGAAACTTTTTGCTTTGAATTAAACAAAAAGTTCAAGTTAAAAGGGGCTTTTTTGACCCAGAGGAAATATTTGTATTGTTCACATATTTCAAAAGGGCTTTCTTTCTAATTCAAACTCGAGCCAGACTGCTGATTTTCCAAATATACCTCTATAAATAAAAAAATGGGATTCAAGTTATGCTTCAGCATAGTTATGAGAGGACAAGTTTATTAAGAGAGGAGAAGGAAGGATGATGCATTTGGCAAGTGTTTGGAGCGTAATTTATCTGTCCTTCATGTTTCACTGGTTTCTCCATGTGGCCTGAAAGGAGAAACCCCACCTTGTCACTGTTGTGCTCAGTGGTTCCCCTCAAATGGAAATAAAGAAGTGTTAAATATCTCATAATATAAGCTGTCAGCAAAATGTTTTAGTGCTTCATATGTGATTTAAAGTCCTTTAATATATCTCTAGGATATTGTATATTTGGTGAGCCATTCCATGCTGTGGATTTTCAAGTCTGTTGGTTTCAATATATGGTTATGCTTAAACTACAGTTCACTGAGCAGCAGAGCCTGGTCTTCTATGTTTATGTGTCTGTAAGATAAGCCCTAATGCCTTCAGCCTGAGCATCCTTTACCTTCCCAGTAAAATAGCTACCCTGTTTATCCTCTATGCCCCCATCTTCCTTGAACGGTACACCTGCCTGGTCAAGAAGATAGATTGTTTTTACTGGTGGAAAGCTGAATGTGTAGGCAGCGTCTGTGCTGCCTGGACAGGGACCTCCTTTTTTATACAGATGCTGCCCTAGGCACCTTGTGACCCAAGCTATTTTAATGAATGCATAAAACGTAAGATCTAAACATCACTCAAATCTTTGCTTTTCAGTCAAGCTAACTTCAAACTGACCTCTGGATTCACAAGCTATTAGAAAAGATGGGCAGGCACAGGGCAACACTGTTGTAGAAGCTTATTCCCTAAAGAAGTAAGCTAAAAATTGATCATTTGGCATATGCTTAAGACTTTTGGTTTTGATTTGCAAGTAGTAATTAACATTTACAGTACATCCATAATAATATTTAAATACATTTAAGGTAATTCAAACAGTGGAGTGTAAAATAACACTGTACCTATGAAAATATACTTTTAAATTTTATTAGATTTGGCTTTTTCACATCATGAAGTTTCTGGTATTTATTCCTTTAACTATTTATAAAGAGAGAGACAAAACTGTTACCAGTACATGAATGATTTCCAGTGAAATCAGATGCAGAGCTTGGCATTCCACTTTATGACAGGTGCCTGCTTTATCTTGAGTTTGAAATTGTTTGCTTTTTATTAAGTTTTTGGGGTTGTTTCTGGTTTTTTTTTTAATTTTTGAATTGGATAAGTTTAGATGTTGCAAAAGCAAGACTATTCGTAATGGTTTGGGCCAAATATAGTGCAGTCAGATGGTACGCAGGTTTACCTAAAGAGCTTTGACAACCTCTTAATCTTGATATGTAGCACACCATCTATTCTAGTCACGGTCGTTTAAAAAACATATAATGCATGTCATGCTAAATTGCACACTAGCTGTTTGTTTAGTACAGACATAATTGCACCATAAACTGAATTGCAGCTGAAGCTGAAAAATGGACTTGTAGCAATATTTTCAAAGTTTATAGGTCTTCATGCTAAACCACATCTTAGATTTTGCCCAGACAACCTGTAGTCCTCTTGCTGCCCATTAACACACCTTTCTGGATGAGTTAAGGGAAAATGAGCCTCAGGGGCCAGAGATTTACATTCTTATTTGACCATATTTTTAAGTCTATGTATAGTTTTAAGTAGGGGTCCAGGATATGCTACAGTATTGAGATCAATTATTAGTTTGCTTGCCTGGAGATTCCTCCTGCTCTGTGGAGTTTTGATATCTGTCTCATACTTTAAATTCCTCAGTCCTTGCACTTTCAAAACTTCCATTGACCGATCTCAGTATTGATTGCTTGTGAACTGTAATAATCCCTCTTGCTTGTCTGATGTCTTTAATCTTTTGATCCATCTCCATGGCTAATCAATGTTTATATTGTCATGGAGGCAATATATCCACATCCAGGCTCATGTGTCTGCAAACTCAGAATGTGTTTGTAAGACAAATATGTATAGAAACAGCTAAACATTTTCCGGACGGAAAACATAAAGACATGTATGATTGAGTTACCTGTTACTTGTTAATGTATTTTCTTTCTACCAACAGGTCCCATAAGCAGCATTTTGGTGAATAAGTATGGTAGCCGGCCTGTGATGATAGCAGGAGGTATCCTCTGTTCATTTGGTATGATTGCTTCCTCTTTCTGCAATAGTGTCCTGGAACTTTATCTATGTATTGGTGTTGTTGGAGGTAAGAGTCCTGTTTAAAAGAGATTATTATATTATATTATATTATATTATATTATATTATGTTATGTTATGTTATGTTATGTTATGTTATGTTATGTTATGTTATGTTATGTTATATTATTTCTAATACTGTTCTACCGATGAGCCTTACTGATCAAGAACCCACTGTGCAAGGCATTGTACAAATGCAAACCAAGAAGGTAGTAAGATCAGTTCATTTCAGCTCCCTGAACTATCTAATCCTTTAAATTTGCTGGTATGATGTTAAATTATTTCTTAGGATATTTCAGGAACAACTGATTATTTTATTCAATAAATGCTGTGTGTATGTACTGTTCCACACTGCACTGTAATTATGGTATAAAAATTGATTGGCTCATGACAGCACTTATTGCAGTCATTTGTGCAGAATTTCACATTCATTCTTTTAGCTTTCAATCATATTACACTTCAAACAGGGTGGCAGAGGCTAGCAGAATTCTAGTAAAAATGTAAAAGCTGGTACCAGCTTTCTGTAGGTTTGTATGTACATATACTCTCACAGATAAGTATAAAAACTTTCAGTTCAATAACTTTCTGTTTGAAATCCCCCATGGTCAATCCCCAAATGAAATTATTCATATATCATCAAAGGCCAGGATATTGCCTAAGGCAATGAACTATAGTGACCATAAAGCCAGTAAATTAAATAACTTCCTTAATCAAAAATTGTTTTTTTCTTAACCTACCTCCTTAGAATAAGGAAAGCAGGTGAAATATTGACAGGTAATAAATGAATGAGATAATACTTGTTCCTATATTCAAGCTCATCTTTCTTTATGTTGAGACTAAAGGAGTCCTTTTTTCAATGATTATTTCTTAAAGGTCTTATTTTTCGTATCCTAAACTTGGGAGTCACTGAAAGAATAAAGTCAACGTTCAGGAAAGGGCCTATCAGAGAAGCAAACTTCTCTCCTGTGCCATACAGCAAATAATGCATAGCTACTTAGACCTTATTGCCTAGATGTCTTAATACAGAGAGAAGGCATAGAGATTCAGCTTATACACTCAGCTGATGTGGATGGGTGATCTGCTCCGATGCATGTCCTCTACAATTCTTCCACCTGTAATAGTGACTTCCATACCTGGGCAAGTGGAGCTGAATGTGCTCCAAACTAACTAGACATTTTAAACTTCACTTTTGTACACAAGTTTGATCTTAAACAGGGCTGGAAATAAGAAATGAGGAAATTTATGCATTTAAATGCACCCTGCATTCATTGTAGCTGAGGTGACATTTAATAATTTTTGTGAAATGAGCCAAGAGAGAATTGCATTATAGCTTAGTAAATATAAAAATGGTGAGTCATGGCGCTGATGCCATCATTCCTCTGTGATTCCCCTGTCTCTGTCATTGCTGAAGCAGAACAAGGAGTTTTGGCTTTTATTGCAGTGCTACAGGGACAAATGGCAGAATGCCACCATGGCATTAGCACACATGGATAGCAATGAAGCTGTATTTTGTTCTCTGATGCTAGTTGATTTCTATCTTCATTGGGAATCACTGGATTAGATACTAGTCTTTTTAAAAATAACTTGAAAGAGGTGTGATATGTTTTTTAGTGCATGACCTTCAATAATACTGTCTTTTTTATGTTGTTTAGGTCTGGGTTTAGCATTCAACTTACAGCCTGCCTTGACCATGATTGGCAAGTACTTCTATAAGAAGCGTCCCATTGCTAATGGATTGGCCATGGCTGGAAGTCCAGTGTTTCTGAGCACGTTGGCACCTCTCAATCAATTCCTGTTTAATGCATTTGGCTGGAAAGGAAGCTTTCTCATTCTGGGAGGACTTCTTTTGAACTGCTGTGTGGCTGGGTCACTTATGAGACCTGTTGGACCGAAAACAGTCTCTCCTGCTAAAAAAGATGTTGAAAAAGGAGATTCTACCTTGCACAAAAACAACAAGAAATCTTTTTGGCAAACTATGAATAAATATCTAGATCTGTCTCTCTTCAAACACAGAGGGTTTCTGATCTATTTGTCAGGAAATGTCATTATGTTTATCGGTTTCTTCGCTCCAATAGTATTCTTGGCACCTTATGCCAAGCACAAGGGAATTGATGAATATTCTGCTGCTTTTTTGCTATCTATCTTAGCCTTTGTAGACATGTTTGCTAGACCTTCAATGGGACTTGTAGCAAACTCCAAGTTTATCCGGCCAAAGATTCAGTACTTTTTTAGTTTTGCTGTCTTGTACAATGGTGTCTGTCATATCTTGTGCCCTCTGGCAACAAATTACACTGGCTTAGTGATATATGCTGTATTTTTTGGGTTTGCATTTGGAATGGTTAGCAGCGTTCTTTTTGAGACATTGATGGACCTTGTTGGGGCTGCTAGATTTTCCAGTGCGGTTGGACTTGTCACCATTGTGGAATGTTGCCCTGTGCTCATAGGCCCTCCTCTAGGAGGTAAGAATCTTGTTTATTCCATTTTTTTTCAGACATAACCACATAATCTTGAAATGTAGCATTGAATTAATATAAATATTATTCTTAATGCTATTGAATATTTTCTGTGTGACTAGGAAAGCACTGTAGCAGCAGTGCACTGCATCAATTAGCTTTGCACTTTACAGCTGCAGATCTACATGAGAATCTAAAGGCATACATTGCATGCATGTGCAATAGATAGATTAAGAGTGTGTCTCTATCAACCCATAAATCCATGTGATAAATGTGTTTTCCTGGTAGCATGTGATGCTAGCTTTACATCCTTGATTTACATGGATTCAGCTCCAATTTACTCTTTGCCAACACAGTTCTTACTCTCTTGAATTGTTTAAATCCACTGGTTAGTTTTTGTGAAGATCTCACAGTGACTTATAGCTGCTCTAACCTAATGGCAGCTAGAGGAGCACCCGCATAAATTTAAAATAGCAATTTTAGCTTGCCTAAACAGAGAGGACTGGCATTTCTAGAGAGAAGAAACCAGTAGAGAGGTGCCAGAAAGGACAGGGCCATGCTCAGTAGCCTAGGCAGGGTGTGTGCTTGGTGGAATTCTAGCACAGTGCCGTAGAAAGTTGCACCCTGGCATGATTTCACACCACAGGCTCACCCTCAGCCAGTCCTTTAGCCTATTTCTACAGCCAGCTGTTATGTGTAAGGTAATTCAGAGTGTGAACCATCCTACATTGACTAAGAGATGGCAATATTGCCAACTTCTTTCTTTTGAGTGTAAGGGGAGCTTAAAGGGAGCCTAGGTATATAGCTTGGACTATATTTGTGACTTTTGGATTTCTAGGATCAAAATAATGAAGAGTCTTATCTAAAGTATTTTCTGTTTGCTAGCTTTTTAGTCAGTATTCAGTAACGATATTAGTAAGTTTTATAATCTTAAGGTTTCTGATGATATAAGAGACTAAAGAAATAGATGCTCAAATCTTACTGAAAAGTATGTTAAATGTGTGTGTGTGCATGTTGCAATGTAAGACCAACAATGTGAAAATATAAAGATAACAAGATTACCAGCCTTGTGAACGTGTACTATACCAGCATAATCGGAACCACAAAAGTCAGCAAGATTATACGTGCCTGAAACCATTCACAATCATCAAAGTATTTTAAGGATCGCTCTCACTCTTTTTGTGAAAATAGCGTTGTCAATATTGAAATTTCAAATATGCCAGAACAATTCCACTCACTTCAATACAATAGTGTTTGTACAAGTAGATGTTTAGCAGTCTTCAAGATATTCCATATTTCCCTCATCTTTTTACATAAAATTGGTTTGCGTAATGGTAGAACAAAATCTATTCTCCTCACACAGATTCTTCCTGTGCCACCTAGTGGGGGACTGAGCCTGTGACTGCTGGAGTCCAGCCTTTACAGTCAAGTCCTGAGATCAATATTAATATTATCTCTAAAGATATTAAGTCTAATATTTATGGAGCAATAGCTCCATAAATAGCTATTTATTTTTTGGTATATAAGCTTTGCAGAAGTTTGGAAAAGCATACGTTTGTGCTATAACTGTATGAATAATTGATTTAGCTTGTTAAATAGAGGCAACAAGGGGGATGAGCACATGGAAAAGCTAAATTCCAGTTTTGACTAGTTCACATCCTTTAAAATATTATGCTGAAGTAATGATAGTGCAGAATTTCAGTTTTAATCATCAGTTTTATGAGACTGCTTATCAATAAAACCCAGTAAATTGCACTATTTCTACTAATAGGTGAATTATGCGGTTGCAGTGCTGTTTGAGTTTTTCTAATACTAGGCTTGTGAAAGAAAGAGAAGACTGAAATAATTTGATGGCTTGTAACTGTGTATCAGGTGAACAGGCTGGCATTATGGCTTCAACTCAGTAAAAGCATCTAAATACATACTAAACTGAAGTGTACAGGTTATCCTGTGAATTTCAATGATAGTATAGCAGAGTTCAGAGCTAAATGGTTGGATACATAAAATGTTGATTTGGCAGTTGGGAAAATTTAGAAAAAAATGTCTCGTAAAGTGGAAGAACAGCTATATTTTATTTTCCTTGTCATGATCAAATTAATATCAGAACTGTGGATGTAATTTTTAGGTACAGGTTACAGAGTTCAAAACTCAGCGGTTGAGCATGATGGTTGAAGGGACAAGCCGTTCTATCTCTTTCACCAGTTACAGGAAAGTAAAAATGAAAAGCAAGCAGTTGATGCACAGTGACAGCAACCTGAAAAGGCACATACCTCTTCATCCTATTGTCTGTATGCAGCCTCTGTGAGTGTCAGACAGTCACCCTAAAACAATAGGAAACAAAGTTAGGAGGTGAATAAAATAATAAGCCAATGAAAGAATAAAAATGAAAGAACTGGAAAACTGCCTGTCATTATTCATTAAGCTTTAAGTACTTTGTTCTTCATTGTGTTATCTCTGTCAGTGATTCCAATGATAATTGCTGCCTTGACTAATACAGGTTTTGTTAGAGTTTTGCTGTATATGTCAGACCATTTGAATGTGTTGAAAATGCTTTACTGCTCCAACTTCAAAACCAGTCGATACGTAGGTATTTCTCCTATGTAAAGATCTGGATTGTATTGGGTATTCTATTCTAAAAACTTGTTCTCTCTTCTTGTCTTTGTATTTCAGGTTGGTTAGTGGATGTTACTGGTGAATACCAGTATATGTATTTCGTCTGCGGAGTGATTGTGATTGTGGCCAGTATCTGGTTGTTCATTGGCAATGCCATTAACTACAGGCTTTTGGCAAAAGAAAAGAAGTTAGAAGATGAGAAGCAGAAAGCACAGAAGAACGCTGACTCGAAGGAAGCAGAACCGTTAACACACAATGAGAACGAAGATGCTGCCAGCAGAGCTGATAAAGCTCTTGAAGATCCTTCAGAAAGAGAAACCAATATTTAATCTGCAATGTAGCTCAGAAGGCAACATTTATGACTTCCATTAGAAATATGTCTCCAAGACACAGGCCAGGTTTTGTGGTAATAGTGATCAGTCACAATATTGGATGTGAACAGATTTTTGCCCCATGGCAAGACTCTAAGTTAGATTACTATCTACAGTTTATTTATTTCAGTGATACAAAAATTGAGATTACAGAGGTAGAACTTCCATGCAAATGAGTCCATCAAACTATGACTCTTGACTGTCAAGAGTCAGGTAAATCAGACTATACATAAAGCCTTCCAATGACAAATGGTTTTGTTTTAATAGTATTTCTAATGCAAAAGTATCTCTTACTTTTATTTGGGAAGATACTTTGTGTTCATCTTTAGAGTATTGTTAAAGTCTGTTGAAATAATCTGCCCAAACTGTATTTACCACTAATATTAAACAGAATATAAGCTCAACGCTTTGTTCAAAAGAGACAAAGTACCTGAGTGAAGCACACTGAAGCATTTTCTCTTTTGTATGCCCACTAGGTCAAAAAGATACATTATGTCTGTATAAAAAATTACAATATGAATGTAAAAGTTAAGGCTAGAAGATGATCAATTGGTGGGCGCCACCTCTAAAATACAATAAACCGCTGAATTACAATATATTCCAGAAGTTTTTTCCTCCTGTGATACCTGACTACATTGTACTTTAACATATACATTTGAACACAAAGTACGTTCAGACCTCACTGATTCAAACTAAGATAAAATCTACCTGTATGTAAAAGGATTTAAAATCAAGCTTTACATTGCTGACAATAGTGGCAATTAGTTTGTTTGGTTACCTATTCCTGTATGGCTGAAGGAACTGGATTGAACTGTGAAGTCTTCTTCCTAAAGGGACTAGATTCAGAACCTGCTTATGTTAAAAGGATATTTACCCTTGGCTTTTGTGGCCTCAATCAGTTTCATGGCAATGACTTCAAATTAGATGCTTGGGTTTATTGACAAGTCATTAGTCGTTTGATGGTCTGCTGAGAGGAGATTTAAGGTCTAACTTCAGGTCTTTGCAGATAGGTAACTTTATATCAGATCTCACCTCCGTTTCCCACTATTTAGTGAAAAGCTACTTCTTTTTTTTAATACCAGTTTGAGCAAAAATGCTGCAAGGCACATTGACAGTGCCAGTCTGGAAGCTTTATATTGACATATCGTTTTTGTGCAGGGTTTTTGGTCTTGTGTCTACAATTTCACACGGACACTCATATCAATTAAAATGTACACAATTGTTCCTCTTCCTGTAGGCAAAAGAAAGCATTAAGTCTACAATTTTACTTTACAGAAATTAACATTGCACTTGAAAGCAAAAAGTGCATGGTTCTGAAGGTATTAAGTGAAAATATTTCAGTTCTATTTGCAGGTGAGAAAAGGTGCTATTCGTTTTAGAGGGATGCATATAAATGCCTCAGAAATTGTGAAAATTAAGGGTCTGATTCATAAAACATTTATGCACTATTTATGCAGAATACACATACATTCAATTCAGGAAAAAGAATATCATTCATTTTAGCCCTCTTTTAAATCTCAAAAAGTTGAAAATATATTGGACAGACAGCTAGCTGTGTTAAACAGCACTTTGACGTGCCAATAGCGAAAGAAAAAAATTAATAGTAAAATCTAGCAAATATGTCAGTTCTTTTAAGAAGGAGTAGTTTTCAATATTATTATTTTCATTTTCATTCTTCTAAGAATTTTAGTAGTACTTCTGTTTTGCTGAGTTGTCATCTTACATACTATGAGCTTCCATAGTAATGCTGAACTTCTTCATTATCTCAGCACCATTTTGTGAGAGAAGCATCATGAATCTACTTACAGCATACAGAAATTAATACCTAGATTTTACGTAGTTAACATGCAGAAGAACAAAACACCTTCCACAAGTCCTGTAGTTTTATGGACACATCAGAAACAAAATATGTGCATTTCAGAGTTTTGGGAGAAAATATGGGTTACATGCTCAGATTAGAGCAGAACTGTGTAAAGGAGAATGCTTTAGTCCCAGTAAAATTAGTTACTCTCCCAGTCCCCATCTTCAGAGGAGAAAGAAATACATTGCATCTCCTTCCAAACCATAGCCCTGGCAGCACGCCAGGAGGTAAGAGCATTGCTCTGGTTTGGGCTATACAAACATATAGGGTGAATTCCAGGATCTGTGAAGGACCCATGTGCCCAGAAAAGAAAGTGACTAGGAGTTTCATAGACACTAAGCTTTCATACAGCAAGGAATATCAGTTATAAATACTGGATTGTGAAAGATGAACTGAAATTTTAGCTAAAGCGTAGTCATCAGTAACATTACTCTGCTCTTGACAGCAAGTGGTAGAAAAGCAGAGATTATTTGAAAAGAGATGAATACAGAGGCTGAACCAAAATGACTGAGGCGAAATTCTAGGTGCTTATTATCTCTTTGCAAAAAACAGCATGATTAAGAATATAGGGTAGAAGACAACAAGTGTCAAATTTTGACTTAAGTCTGTAAGAAGTTGCTGTTGAAGAAATAAAGGACTCAGAAGAAAGATGATAAAAAAAGACTCTCAGGAAACATGTAAGCAACTTGCCTGTTCTATGCAGGATCACAGAATATGATGCAACATGGCATAGGAAATAAGGGAAAAACAAGATTCCTCAAGCCATAGACACATCTGACCACCAGTAACAAAAGTTATCTCACTCAGAGGAAATAAAAATTTATGTAAACACACCCTCTGCAGAGCTACTATTCTTTCATCTCTGGTGAATTATGTTAAAAAATAGTAGAAATGAAAGAGCTGCTTTACCACTGCTCACCAATATGCAATTTTTAATCCCATGGGATAAAATGATGTCATAGGCAACTGGAGCAATATAAAGTATGAAGTGAGTGAAGTGAAACACTTCCTTACACCTCTTTCATTACTTCTCCTGATAATGCTAGCAACAAAATAAAAAACATCAGAATACTCTTGATATTACTGAATATTAAGGAAGTTAAAATTCAGAGATGAATGAAGAAAATTGGAACCATATCTATGCAAAAACTGCCTGGAATTAAAAAAACTGTGTCTTCCAAATAACAGGTCCTAAAGGGGCAATTGCCTTGTGTTTGTAGCTCTTATTTCTAAAAGTAATAATGATAAAAAATTCCCTCAATTCTAGACAGAGCAGCAAAGTAGCAAAATAAGTATAACTTGCCTTCAAACCCCTGAATATCACTCTTACTTGCACTGAGCTGTAATTTGTATTGCAAGTAATTTAATCGTTACTTTTCTGCTTTCAGGATAGGACCTGGATATATGTCATTTCTCTAAATCCCCCTGGTTTCTTTTGATTACCTTGCCTCCAGTCTGGACAACTTCAGGGTCAGGACTAAGAGGTTCCTCTGCCCTGCAATCAAGAAACATACTCTCAAACTTCAGGACTTACCAGATGCATCTGTTATGCGCTATGGAATCTGTAGTCTCTGTCAGTTGATGCAAGCAGATCCTTAATTGCTTTTAATCTCATTTATGCTCATGTATACTTCATCCTCTTCATTGCTCTGCCACAATTTCACTGAGCCTAATCATCATCTTGCTCTTGTTTGATCAATCAAGAAAAATAATACTAGAATTTTAAAATTAGTAGGAAAGGGGATAACATCAATAATATTTTTCCTATTTAACAGCAAGTTTAAGTGTCAAGTAGTTTCAAAGTAGACATCCAGGTACTTTTAATCTTTAGGGTTCTTTGACATTGTACTCTCTAGTAGCTGGAGGGTTCTTCTGTGTTACCCTTTCCAACTCCAGAGAAAGAATTCTAACCAATAATTCTCAGTACTTTTTCAAGAAATTATCGAAAGTTCACCCCTCCCACCTCTCACCATTGAACTGTGGTTGCAAATGTTGTCAGTTCTGTATTTCCATTAAGTTTACAGAAGCATCTTATTATATGAAATCCTGTACCATAAGTAGTCAGACTACAACCCTTGTATTTCAGGAGTGTGGTTTGTGAACTGTTTTGACAGAGTTAGGGGAAGTCTTATTTTATCTTCAAATAGTTTTTTTTTTTTAATTTATGCTGTTTTCATGAGAGGAAGTTCAACTTTACTTACTGCTGAAGTGGATGGCAGCAATTTCACTGACATCATGATTCAGAATTCACTTAATAGTCTTTTTTTGCATATCAGCATCCAGTGTGCTTAAAAAACATCTAGCACTGTGTACATAACTGTTCCTCCCAGAGAAAGCTCATTCCTCTTGAAGGTTCTCCACCCCCACCCTCCATTTTGATGTAACACAAAGAATTTGAGCCTGGCATGTAGTGATTTTTTTTTAAACGCTTTCTTGTCATTCTCTTTCCTCAAATGCCTAAGCAACATTTTCACTTGCTACTTTCAGGTCTGGATGGTTGTGGGTATTAGTAGGGAGATATTATTCAGATTCATAGTAAGCTGCAGATATCACATACAGCCAGATTTGGGGCGGCCATCAAGGTTTCACTAAGCGACGACGGTGACCACTTTTATAAATGAACCTGCTGTAACTGATAACTGACAATTTTTTCCTATAACAAAATTGAATTGAGGCAACTTTTGTTAGTTTCTCTATAGATGACTATTTTTCTACTCACAGAGAGGAATATAAGGGGAATTTTTAAATAATTATTTTCTGAGATGACATATCAATTTTAACAAGGCTCTTCAGATTTTTTTTTGGGGTGGGTGCTTTTCTGATATTTATGCATATATATATATAGAAAGTGTTTGCATGTATTATCACCTTTTTGATCACAATTTGCATAAGCATTGCTATGTAATTTCAACATAATTTGCATGTTGTTGTTTCGCAGTTCAAATTTTTCTCATCATCTACCTCTCAATTGAAGTTTGGAGACTTGCACGACCCTGGAAGAATACTGCTAACAAAAACCATGATGGTAAAACCTCTACAGACTATTAGAAAGTCTCCCAAATATTTGAAGCTAATTACAGTTCTATTTTTAAGGCGGTGCGTATTTATGGCCAAATTCTTCTATCAATTGGCATAGCTTTATTAAATCTAAAGATTTAACCCATACTAGCATAGTTTTTACATCACTGAACTGATATAAAAACTCACAGTGTCATTTAAATATCCTAAGTGTACTGCCCTTTCTGTGAGATGCTGGCCCTCTCTTTTTTTTTTTTTTTGTTTTCTTTCCATTTGTGAGTTAGTAGAAGTAATTAAATTGAAACATTAGTTAATGTTTCATAGTTAATACATCCAAATAGTTTTAAAAATTATTACAGAATACTTTGCATTTTGCTTCCTTTAAAAATAAAAAAATGTCTTTATTAGAAATAATAAAGAATTTTAGCTTGCCTTCCCTTTTGTGAGGCAGTTGAGGGAGATGGTCACAAAATGTTGGACTGGGGCCAAGGAGTAATGATTGTTCTTCATATGCTCTTTACAAAAACAGAGATGATGATTGTTTCTTCAAAGATATTAGTGGTTTTAGTCTGCAAGCCATTCTTGCCTTCTAAGATGTAGTACAAAGTCCACTGAAGCCAACATAAGAAACCACTTTCAAAGTCAAAGAGCTTTATCAGACATTGTAGGTGATGTGGCTTCAGTGGAGGCTTCCGCCTTATTTTCTCCATATCAAATCTCAGGAGTATCAGAAATAACACAGCAAATGTAGGATTTGTTGCAACTGGTAAATTTAGCTATACCTGCATAATATTCCTAATGAATCAGTCCCTAAATTAACGCACAATATGTATTATTTTAATAGCCTATGTAAATAAGAGAAGTCAAACATAAACTC